CGGCTTGCTAGCAGCAGGTTGAACGTGGTTGAGTTTTTGATTTTTTTCTCAAAAGGATTTGTAATTGGAATCAGGCAGTTACTGCGGCCTAGAAACAGTTTTGTTCATCTGGTATTGTTTTTGGTGGTGGTGGTGGGGGGGGGGGGGGAGGGGGGTGGAGACAGCTAGTTTTGTTCTGTGAACATAATTTTATATAAAAATGCAAGAATAGGTTTTGATCTTCTTTGTGTTTTGGTACAGACATGATTAGATTTACTGTTCCTTTTACATTGTTCGAAAGATGGAAATCTGTCAATGTCATAGTAAAGTTCTGGAATAGTGTTGCCACTAATTGCCATTGAATTGCTATCCTCCTTTTTACTTATGTTGAGCAGTCTCTGTTGCTGTTTATCTCTTCTCTTCTGCCTTTCTATCCCCCACTGGAGCATAGGCCCTCAACCAACTCACGCCAAGTTGTTCTATCCTTCGCCATTGCATGGAGCTCTCCCCATGTCCTCCCCATCTTTCTAACCTCATTCTCCAGCTCTCTTCTCCTTGTGTGTGTGTTTTTTTTTTTTTTTTTTTGGCCTTCCTATATTCCTATGCCCCTGTGGGTTCCAATGCAAAGACATTTAGTTATGCTGTTCTCCTGTTTTCTCAGTGTGTGTCCTATCCAACGCCAGCGTCTTTTCCTCACCTCTTGGTCCACTGAAACCTGTTTAGTTCTCTCCGAAATTTCTACATTAGTTTTTCTATCATACCATTTTATTCCCTCTCTTCGGCGCAGGCACCAGGTAATGAATGTCTGCAATTTATTTGTCATTGCCTTGGTTGTTCTCCATGTTTCCGCCCCATACAATAGTACTGATTTGTTGCTGTTGAAAATGGAGGCTAAATATTCAAATTTTGTGACGTTGTAAATTTTTTCATCTTGCTATTTCTGGGCCACAGCAATTTTTTTTTTTTTTTTTTCAAATTTAAGAATAGGTTTTGATTTTCACTGTGTTTTTGTACAGACATGATTAGATTTTCTGTTTCCTTGACATTGTTCGAAAGTTGGAATCTATCAACTGCGGAGTGAAGTTCTGAAATAGTGTTGCCACCAATGGCTAGTGAATATGTCACAAGTCTGGTCATTTTACACATTTGTCATTACATTTTCCCCTTACATATTGAATTGGTATGGTGAGAGAATCTACATCTGCCTCACTTTCTTCTGCATTTCGAAGCAGTCTGATGTTTCTCAGGCTTCTCAGATGGCTGCTTGTTGTTCGTGATAATAACTTAAATCTCAATTCAAAAAGGAAATAAAGCAATTCTAATTCCCAGACTGTCAGATGATAAAACATGAACTATTGCAGTGGAGAAAGTAATTACCAATTTCCGGTTCCTCTTAGTTTGCTTTCTGTCAATAATCGCTTAACCTTGACACAAGCGTCCGCGAGATCACGTAACCATTGTTTATTTAATGCGGTATTAGGCAAGGTCGCGTTGTCTGCTACCAATTTCTAAACAATAGGTCTTTGAAAACATCGTGTTTTTTCAACTGTGCCTGTGGCGAATTGAAACTTCTTCCTTGTCTTAGTTGCTTTTGTATTCAATGTATTGGCAGTGAAGATTCTTCTTTTGTTAACAGTTATTATTATGTCGTTGTCACAATTAACATCACGGCGAACTGGACATTCCCATATGTGATAATTCCTACCACGCAGCAGCCACATCAAGATGCCTCTACTGATTGTTCTATTGGGACATTTGTTAGTTTCAAAACGAGTGAGGGTGGCTCAGATAAGGCTAAACCTTTCTTAAGTGAAGTATAATGATAATAATTGAATAATTTACGATATTAGGCCCAGAAAGAGAGTGACTTCCCTTGCCATTCATCCCCGGTCGTGTCAAAGGGCTTGTCATATCTTGCGGGGGAGGGGGGGGGGGGTCACGCTTAGTGATGGTTTCTGCAACAGAATTTAAATTACGCGTTCTTGTCACAGGCTGCATGCAGTCGTAGGCTGCACTCTCTCGTAGGACGTAGGCTGAGGTGAAGATGGTTTGGGTTAGGGCCTGTTCTACGTGTTTTAGAAAAGTTAAAAGCGCCCACTTCGTGGAATATAGACCACACGATTTTGCCGGCCTGTGACAACAGGGTGTAAAATTCGTTGTGTTGCTGGACGATCACTAAGCGTAACACCCCGCAACATGGGACAGACCATACGACACGACCAGGGATAAATGACGAGGGAAGTCACTCTCTTTCTGGGCCCGAGTTCGTGAGTTGTACCATTTTAATAATAATAATAATAATAATAATAATAATAATAATAATAATAATAATAATAATGTGCAGAATTGCAAATAAATGTAAAAATGTTCTTCAAATACTGTAATATAAAATATATAAACAAACAAACGTAACTTTTCGCTGGCTGCTGAAGATAGGGACGGAGCGCTTATGGGAATGCCCCGAGTGCTGTGATGTCGGTTCTTGAATCAAATCAAATCAAATCAAAGAAACACAGTGGCGGGAAGATGGAATTTCAAAAAAAAAAAAAAAATAATAATGAGAGATTGATATCAGTGCTTCCCTATGTGGAATGCAATTTTTCGGTATTTGAAGCCCCACCTTTGTCGGGGGCCCCTAAATATAACCCGGCTGAATGGGGTTTCTGGGACTTCTCCACTGGTGATCCCCATCCACATAGTGGCACTTTGTGTCACCGGCTGTTTATCGCGTGTGTGATGTCCTGGTGGGGTACAACGAGAGAGAGAGAGAGAGAGAGAGAGAGAGAGAGAGAGAGAGAGAGAGAGAGAGAGAGAGAGAGAGAGAGAGAGAGAGAGAGAGCTGGATTTTCTTCTTGATATAGAGGGGATTGCACACGATAGAATGGAAAGGGGAGGGGGGGGGGGCATTTGAGGCCGTTAAATATTATGAATTAATCAAGTAACAGAAAGTATCCCTCTGTTTGTTTATAGGAATGACGTATTCACACCGGAACCTACCAATCAAATACCTTTCTTAAATGTTTGTGTATTCTAGACAAAGCAATAAGGTCTACTGTGTTCGTAAATTGTTGCTGTGATTGTTTTTCGACATTTGCTTCGTTAATATAAATTTCTGTAACCTATGGTGCCATTTCAATGGGTTGAAATGAATTCTGTCCGTATTCTATAGTCGTGGATTTCAAGCTGTACGATAGACATGGCCAATGAGACACCTTTTTTGGGAGGTGCCTAGTTGACCATGTATCTTAGTGCACTTGTATTCATGGTGAGGCGCAGACGCCGTCTGGAGGTGACAGGTTCAATTCCCGGCACGGTAACTATAGCTTTCGAATTTTATGTTGTCTAGTGTGTTCTTCTATCTTTCTACTTCTTTCTATGAGTGCCGTTCAAAATACTTTCTGTTACTTGATTAATTCACGATAGAATGGAACAGAGTATCGACTGCTATCACTATGTGACAGCGGGACGGTGATCACAACACAAGTTTAGCCCCATTATAAATCTTCCTGGATCGCAGGGCGCTCGCGCAGAAAGCACATCTATTGACCTTCCACATATCCGCCTAGTCCTGTTTTATCGGTCCAAGTTTCTAACGCGTCCATGTTTGTGTGGCGTCCATGTTTCTGTGGCGTCCATGTTTCAACGGAGTCTTCCGTTTCAAACTAGTTCGCTAGCTGTGAATCCACAGGAACGTATCGCACCTTATATGGCTAACTAGGCCGCGTTTGGAAAGGCTGAACCAATGTGATAAAGAAGAGCCTTGTATAATTTTTATAGGGGGGTATTTAATGCGTTTCTTTTCTTAACCAGCCTTTCAGATATAGATTTCTCAAAACAAACGAAGGGAACTATCGTGGATGTTTTCAAATTTAATTTTAATTTCAGCGATAATGAAGTTTCAGTGGTAGAACAATAGGTTGTGAAATATTAAGACTTGTGTCGACTTAACACGAAGTTACTGCTGTGGAATAATCTTGTAATTCAGTAAGTATTCTTGCGTATGATTTTGGGCGTTTTGGATGTTGATTTCTGTATTGCTATATGTGTAGAAAGAAACACGGTTTCATAGTTTCTTCTAAGTAAGGGACCCTTTTCCACGCCTTTAGGCGTATAGGGCATATAAGGCTAGACCTACATTTGTATAGACCCATCGGCACAAGATGATAGTTTCTTCTTCTTCTTTAATTAATCCCTCCAGTATTTAAGTATCAAAGACGCTTTTTTAATTCCAACTGGGCAATTATTAAACCAACGTGGACGTTTTTCAAACCAAACTTGAGAATTTTCGAATCAAACAGAACACACTGATTTCTTTTCTTCCAAAAACTAATACGTGTCAACCAACAAATATAACAATAATATTACATTCAGAGGTAACATCAGCAGTAATGAAATCCAAAAGAGAATGTGGGAAGCGTCAGCTGTAGATTTCATTAAAAGACAACAGATGAAATGGTTTGGCCATATAACGCGGATGCCAACAACCAGTATACCACAGCAAGCAACGGTGTAAGGACCAGGAGGGAGACGAACAAGAGACCGAACTTGCAAAGAATGGACTGAAGGAATAACAGACTTTATGTGAATTCCACCTTTACAAAGCACATAAACGAGCACTTTCCAGTAAAAGACTTCAGCTCGAAACCGCACTGGCTTGGGAAGAGCACCAGGTTAACGTGAACACAATATTGGATCCTGCGACGATGTATTTTTCTGAGCTTGTAATTAGCCCCATTTTTGTGTAACATAAGCTGTTCAATTTTGTCGGCATTCAAATGCATGTTAACCATGTGTGTGAGTGTGTGTGTGTGTGTGTGTGTGTGTGGGGGTATGGGTGTGTGTCAGTGGATGTGAGGTGTGTGTGAGTGGGGGTGTGGGTGAGTGTGAGTGGATGTGTGTGAGTGGGTGTGTGTGTGAGTGTGTGTGAGTAGGTGTGTGAGTGGGTGTGTGTGTGGGTGTATGTGTGGGGAGGTGAGTGTGTGAGAGTGGGTGAGTGTGTGTAAGTGTGTGTTTGTTCCCGTATGGGTTCCAGGACGACTATCGTGCTATATAGTATTAAATTATAGTGTTATATAGTGTTACATTATAGTGTTATAAAGTGTTATTGTATAGTGTTATATAGTTTTATATAGTGTCATATAGTGTTATATTATAGTGTTTTATTAGTGTTATATAGTGTTATATTGTAGTGTTTTATAGTGTTATAATAAAGTGTTATATTATAGTGTTATATAGTGTTGTATTATAGTGTTATATAGTGTTATATTATAGTGTTATATAGTGTAATTTTATAGTGTTATATAGTGTTACATAGTTTTATATAATAGTGTTATATAGTAATAGACTATAGTGTTATATAGTGTTATATTATAGTGTAATATAGTATTATATTATTGTGTTATATAGTGTTATATTATTGTGTTGTATAGTGTTATATTATATCTACATATAACATTTTCGTTGATTGTTCTGCCAACAGAAATGTCAACAGACGCAGCTAAAACACAGCGTTGTGATCAAGGTATGGTGTGTTAACTATGTGTTTATGACTCATGTGAAACAATCTGTAACTCCCCCCCCCCCCCTTTTTCTCTCCATCCCCGCTCCCCCTCCCCAATATCTTCACTGCTTGCTGGGCTGTGTTGACTAAAGCTGCGTGTGCAGTGAAGGTACTTGCAGTCATGGGCGTTGACACGAACAGAACATTGAAGAGGTAGGATTCGGAACGGAGCACATCTCATTTTCACATTTTCCAGGGGTGGGACTTCAAAGAGCCTAGGCATTGTTTAATTGCCTACTACTGCTGCTGCTGCTGCTACTACTGCTGCTGCTACTACTACCTGCTACTACTGCTGCTGCTGCTGCTGCTAGTACTGCTGCTGCTACTACTACTGCTGCTGCTACTGCAGCCACAGCCACCACTACCACTACACCTACTACTACTACTACTAATAATATTAGTAGTACTTATAATAATAACAAAAACAATATTATTAGCCAAACAGTATGTATATTTAATAATATATTAGAAGTAATATGTTATTATAAACGTGTTATTCTTCTTTGGTTTCACCGGCTGTAAACTTGCTGGTTGTTCGTCCACTTCTAGACTTTGGTCTTGTTCCACAACGTGAATTTTGCGTGCACATTCTGTTTTACACATCTGGCATACAAGTGTGCAGTTTGTTAGTTCCTCGCCTCTTTGGCAGATGCACTCCGACTTCACAGGATAAATCCCTGATTAGTCGACTTTTGCGACATCCTGGTTAGGGTGAAGTGGGTTCTGTTAGGGTTTAGTGGGTCCTGTTAGGGTGCAGTGGGTCTACCCCCTTCCCCCCCCCCCCCTCTAAATTCTTTTCGCAAGAGGAAATGTGTTAACACAAACTTTAAACAATAGCTTCTGTACTTGGTTAGGGGGTGGGCGCAGATTAACCTTTTTTCAACATTTTTTTTTTTTGACTCTCTCAAATTTAGCTCTTATAAAGTTAGCCCACTTAAAATGTAACCCTCTGACAAATGTACCCACCTTAAAAATTAAGCTTTATTACAAATTAAGCCCTGTTACAAATTTAGCCCTGTTACAAATTTAGCCCTGTTACAAATTTACCCATATTACAAATTAGGCTTTATTACAAATTTAGCCATCTTATAAATGTATCTTTCCTACAAATTTAGCCCTCTCACAAAATTGGCCGCTCTTATAAATTTCGGAACTCTTATAAATATACCCCTCTCACAAATACCCTTTTACAAATCTAGCCCCAATTTAACCACAAATTAAGACCTCATACAAATTAGACCGCCTTACAAATTAAGCCGTTTTACAAATTTAGCATTTTTTTTAAATTGAGACCTCTGAAAAAAGTTTGCCTTTTTACAAAATCAGTTTAGCCTTCTTACAAATTTAAAGTAAAAGTAAAGTAAAGGACCCTTTTCCACGCATTTAGGCGTATAGGACATAAAAGGCTAGAACTATATTTTTATAGACCATCGACACAAGATGGGTGATGTGGTCAACATCATGCCGGCCGCCTTTACTTCCTGAGCTGCACCCGGTACCCACTCAAGGCTGGGTCGACCTGGGAGCCAAGTCTGGCTCCGCCAGGTAGCGAACCCACGACATTCCGATCCACAGCCAGCGTCTAGCCGCTCGGCTAACAAATTAAGCCCTCTTACAAATTAAGCCCTCTTACAAATTAAGCCCTCTTACAAATTAAGCCCTCTTACAAATTAAGCCCTCTTACAAATTTAGCCTTCTTACAAATTAAGCCCTCTAACAAATTTAACCCTCTTACAAATTAAGCCTTCTTACAAATATATACCTCTAACAAATTGAACCCTCTTACAAGTTAAGCCTTCTTACAAATGTATGCCTCTAACAAATTTAACCCCCTTACAAATTAAGCCTTCTTACAAATGAATACCTCTAACAAATTGAACCCTCTTACAAATTTAGCCTTCTTACAAATGAATACCTCTAACAAATTGAACCCTCTGACAAATTTAGCCCTCTCAGGAAGATTCCCTCTTCGTCCACACCCCGTGGCAAACAAAACAATTACTTAGGGAGGGTAAACGTAACTGGTATACACGTATGCAGTCTGATCATTATGATCTGAGGAGAATGGCACTGCGATCAGTTACAAGGGGATCAGACCGATGCTCGACACTCATGGAAAAGGCGAGACGGATATACAATCAAACAGTTACTAGTATTATCGGAATTTTAACTCCTCGCTTGCCACTGAAGAGGGGGACGGATTGCTTATGGGGGTGTCCTGGGTGCTGTCATGCCGATTCTTAATTCAACATTAAACACATAAGTCGTCTATAAAATCCCAACTCCGCATCTTGCAAACAATTTTTCACTTATCTATCAGCTGTGCATGATTTACTTCCGTATATCAAGATAGTAACTATATAGCCTTTAAGAAATCTCTTTGATTAGTGCTATACCATCTAATATTCCAGAAAAGAACATTTGGCGCACTGTGGTCAGCCTTCGATGCGGAGACGGCTCACAGTGTGTTTGCTACATTAACTATATTCAACCACACCTATGAACAATGAAAGGGCAGACAGCTTGGCTGGCTCCGCACATATTGGTGCAATACTGATGCATAATAAAGCAGACGCGGGCAAGGCCTTTTGAAAGCACGTTTTACAGTTTGGAACAGCAAACAGATCATCACAGTCTGGTGAGAGTGATGCAGCGAGAAGTGAAGAGGAGATCTGGCCGTCACTCGACGCTCAAGGGAAAGGCAAAATGGACATAAAATCAGAATGCTGCTGGCATCATTGATACTGAAACTCTGCATTGGCTGCTGAGAATGGGGACGGGACGCTTATTTTAATGCCTTAAGTGCTATTATATCAATTCTTTAACCAACTCATTAACTCAACCACATATAGCACCTGATGTTCACTACTTCAGCTATTCAGGTCTATTTAAAAAAAAAGCAGCATGTGTCCGATGTGACACTGGCGTAGTTACTTTTTAATACTTCGGTAACAAGTTAACAACAGGAGGTGTGCTCACATAAAAAGTTAGTTTCGTATCCTTTACATGACGTTGCAGAACCAACCCCAGCACTTTTTGGCTTTTGTAGGTTTTATTCTATTAAAGGCAAATTTTACGCTAATTCATTTGCCATTGCCCTGAACGGTCAGCGCTAGGTACCACTGTCGAAACCAGTGCAAAACAAACTGTCCGTAGCTGGGATCGAACCTAGCAGCCCAGCATCACGAAGCGATTTCACAACGCCTAAGCCACAAACGCCAACTCAGTTAAAAGAACCATAAAACTCATAGACAAACAGAAGCCGAGACCTGGACGAGCGGGAAAAATCATAATGAAACAGACAGAGACACTAACCCAGTTAATACAGCACACAAACACAATCTTAGCCAGCAACAGTTGGCACAAGAAACATAGCCACATTTATAACCCAACGCTTCTTTTTCGGAAGGAGCTGGTGGAAAGTGACGATTCTCTTAAAATAAAAAAACTGATGATAATGATGATGATGATAATGATGATGTTGATGTAGGGCCGTTACCTTTAAACACACTGGGCAGCGTTTTGGGTAGCAAAATGTAATGAAAATAAGCAATGGTTTTCTTTCTATTTTAAACAGGACGCTGTGAAGTTGAGCTCTGCACCCACTCCCATGGCGAGGCAGACCTGCAGCGCGCGTTCATCATGTGCAGTAAGAATCCAGGCCACGAAGACTTCATCCCCGTGTACAAATTTCGTAAAGAGCATCTTCCCAAGGGGTTCCAGAATAGCTGCTTGATGGAGCTAATCCAGGTGCTATCAGATCTTACAGTCCGGGTATCTGTCCAGTACACCAGCGAGAACCGACCTGAAACCTGCCCACATAACGGTACCCCGTACCCGTTCTACAGACAGAGGGACACCAACATGGTCAGAACTGGGACTGGCTGGGTGTGGAACCTGGAGAAGTTCTCACAGATGTACGACATGAAGACGTGTCCCTGTTTGCAGTGCCGACTGTCGGAGAATCCAGAAACCAAATGGGCAGAGATCGTCATCGGTTCAGCTGCTCATGTCGTGTTTGACGACAAGGAAGGAAGGCATACGACGTGTCATCTCTTCTATGACAAAGGAAGCACGCCTGAGGTTTGCGAGGGTGTTGTGACTCTCAGAGGGATGTATCGGGTGGATACGAACATCAAGGAAGACAAATGCAAGATGATATATATCACCCATGACATGGAGCTAGCAGACAGACTGGAAAGCTTAACGAAACGTTTTGTTGACCTGCAGAAAATTCTTAACCAGATGTTCAATTCTAAGTTAGATTCAGTTGAGATGCAGTCCAGACGTGAGGCATCAATGACAAGGAATTCTTCGCGATCAAGACGTGAGGAAACCCAAAGATCACAGGTAAGGCAAATGATGAGAGTGGCAGCCCAGCCGAAATTCGGCAGTTCTGAAAATTTACATTCGAGAAGTTTGACTCATGGAGATTTAACATCACAAAATCTGTCCCAAGAGCGGCTTTTGGAAAGTCCCTCTAGTGATAGGTCAAGGCCGCGATTTCTAACAAAACGGGAAGTGAACTCCAAATTGTCCACGCATGACGCGGTACAAGCAGTTAGCGCCACTTTTGGTCTGTCGGAGTATAGAAACAGTACCACCAGATCGCTTTCGAGAAATATCACAACGAACACGTCACACATGAAAAGTGTTTTAAGTGACAACGCAGAAACACAGAGTGTCACAGATGTACATCTCCCAAAGATAATCGACACTTCATACAATTCCACTCGTCGCAGGTCACCCACTCGAAATGTTATGTCTGATTTTCCACAAAATACAGTTTCCGATAAAGGGCCACAAACTAAAACTGCTGTGTGTGTTAACTCACAAGATAGAATTATTTTAAATACCATTTCACAACCAACAATTGACATGAGGAAACTGTCGCAGTCAATAAGCGACATATCCGACCAGTCAAACAGCTTAGCATTTGACCAATCACAAACATGTAAAGTTAGTGGTAACCAATCACGATCAATAAGTATTCGCTACGACCAATCACAGTCGCAACATATTCTTAACCTGTCAAATACAAGAAAAGTTCTCTTTGACAAATCACCATCAAGACACCCAGTGTTAATTAGACTAAAGGAGGGAAACGTAACCTTTCAAAGAAACGAGTCTCCATTGGTCTCGCGTTTCTTGTCTGAGACAAATAAAACCAGCAACAACCAATCAGGGGCAATAAGTAAGAGATCTGACGAAAATAAGCCAATGAATTCAAGTGAGAACATATCAGTTTCAGTGACTGCTAGATGTAACCAATCAGATTCAACTAACGCCTTAGTTAATCAATCGCATTCGGCCAAAACCACGCCCAAATTCCTTGAGCCCAGAAACAACGCTTCTGAAAGAGAGCATTCAACTCACCAGCAGCACTGCCAGAAGGTCAGCTCCAAACGACATGAAGTCTCACATGAGCCAAGGCTAATCCTGTCCCGCCGTACGCAGTCCACAGATGGCCGATCGGATACGGTTGCCAATCCAGCCCTGACAGTAATTGTTTCCCATCCTCACGGTTGTAACAAGCAAATTAGCATCGGCTATTACACCGAACGAGTGGAAGTCAAAGACGCACGTAACCTTACAAGGTATGTCTACACGACGCCCACGTGTCCGGGCTCAAGTGGTGCTCCAGTTTATGTTCTGGGAAGATGGCGTGGATGGTGGCCATGCGATCATCCACACAGCGGTAACAGTGATGTCAATAAGGAACTTAATTTCAGCGGAGTGGGGCTCCACTAGAAGTGTTATATTTTATGTTATCTCGAAGGACATGGCTGACTACTGTGAATTCCTATGCGTGGTCAACCATCCCATGTTATCTCTACTTATGAGCTGAGTTAAGTTGATTCAAAAACTATCACAATACTCGGGGCATTTCCATATACCCTCCCTCCTCATCGTCAGCAGCCAGCGCAGTTTCCATACCAATGGTACTATTAGGAGCCTGATTATAAATCCGTCTTGCTTTTCCTCTGTGCGTCGAGAACTGGCCAGATTCTCTCGTCATTACATCATTCACACCAGACTTTGATGATAAATTCGCTCCCTTAATTACACACAAGCTCCCATAAGGCCTTAACCACGTCTGCAATATTACGCAACAGTATTCCACAAAGTTGCTCAGAGCTAATCTGCCCGCCTGTTCATTTCCCAACACACCGGCATATACCGGAGAAAAAATCAAGACAATGCTCTTCTTCTTCTTCTTTCGGTCGCCTGAAATAAGTTGTCTATATCTGCAATTTTGTTTCTTGTATACATTTCTCTGTTGTTAATTCATTCAGTGGTCCATAGAGTTTACGTTCCACTGTTGCTCTTTCTGGCCAAAGGTTTGCCCTAATGTGTCAAATTCAGTGCAGTCCTGGAGTACATGCTCTGCTATCTGGGGTACCTTTCCACAGGTGCACACGGCTGATACGCCTATCTTGAATTTTGTGTACATGTGGTTACGTCATGGAAGACAATGCTCTTCACTTTGGCCTCCGAAGCGAAGCTTGCCACTTTGCAGGAAAGCATGCTTGTTCTCACCTTCTTCAGCATACTTTCTGAGCCAGTCTGTCTGTCTGCAGCTTCTTTATTTGTCTTTGCAAGCCTGGTCTCAGTTCAAGTTAAAAGCATCTCGCAGTAAACAATTGTGCTTGATCTCGAGACTTTCTGTCTGCCTCGATTGCTAGAAGTTCTGGGTTTAATCCCCGGTGGGTACTGGAATTTTTTCACGTGGACTTGAACTTCTTGTAAATTCCCTGGGTAGTGAAATCGAACGCACGTGTGTATTGTTGCGCACGTAAACAATTCCTTGGCAGTTGGAAATCGAAAAGAGTAGTATAACGGCGCTGCCCAGAAAAAAATTCAAGTTAAAACTCTACCCTAAGTATTTCAGGATCCTCGCCAGTGCTACAGAGCCTGTGCACTTTGCTGAGTTTCTTCGGACTCAGACTTGAATTAGAAGAAGAACCGAGCACTAATAGGTTACTACCCGTGTGTCATGATGTTGATCCGTTATTCAAACTTCAAACATCACAGTAAACAACCATTTTTGATTTGCACAAATTTGACTACAGTTCTCCCACAGATCGACATCCATGTGTTGTGAGTCGGTTGCTTAAGCAATCTAACAATCCACATTATTATTTTTTATTTTTTATTTTTTTTTTAAATTTCGTTTTGTTTGCCGTTTGATAGACTGAGAAACATTTTCAAATGACACAACACACTGCAAGATGTAAATAAAAGAACCTGATTTTAGCCGTGTAGGATCTATAACGGGTTAGGACCCTCTGATGTTACCAGTGTTGCCACTTTTCTTTGACAAAACACATCCAAAACGAAGTTGAAAAATATCAAAAAACATCTAAATTTGCGTGGAAAACATCTAGAAAAAGCATCCAAATGGAAAGAGTCATAAATTACATAGCAATTGATAGGACTTACCCTATAGAATCATGTCCTCATATTTACAGAAGTCTGCCTTACAAGATCCACAGGATAAACTTAGCTTGGATGATGAAGCTGAAGCTTCAGATCCAAAATGACTCGGGTATGCTTTAGCTGTTCCAATTTCTTTTAATACACAATCAGAGAGTTGATAAGCGGAACAGCCTTTTCCTACTCTTTATAAGGCCGAATTTTATTGTCAAGATAGCATTTAAGAGGTCAAATTTCATCCTGTTTCTTAGGTTAGATTTGATAAATTCACTCCAAACGAAAAACATGAAGAAAACATCTACCATCTAAACATTAAAAACGCCATCTAAATGCAAGGAAAAAATCTAAATCTGGATGTAAAACTTCCAAAGTGGCAACACTAGGTGTTACTGTGTTCCTATTTGAAGGGATGGCAGTCACGTACTTCTTCCAGAAAAGCGACGTTTTGAGTTTCTACTTTTGATTGTTCCGGATTTGCTCCAGAACATAGCGATGACTGGGTAAATCATGGATCAGAGGCAAGCTAACGAGAACAGCAGTTTCTCATGTCTTCTTCTTCTTCTTCTTCGCGTTCACCAGCTGTACACTCTGGCGGAAGGTTCTGGTTGCTCGTCCACTACTGAACTGCAGTCCTGCTCCAGAACCTGAGTGTTGCGTGTGCGTCAGTTTTACAGATCTCTTTCTCTTGAATACAGACTGTTGGTTCCTTGCCTCTCCGGCAGATGCACTCCGACTTCAAAGGAAGCTCCCCAATTAGTCGACTCTTACGACATGCTTTTGGGTAGGCAGTGGGTCTATTCTTGCTTTCCCCACAATGGGGCTCCGGAACCTACACGGGGGTAGTTTCTCATGTGATTTGTTTCCTTTCGTTTTGGTTTCCAGTCTCTTTCTGAGCGAACATTTTGTGTAGTAGTGTTGACAAATGAGGAGCGGCTGGCCGAACGGTTAGAACGCTGGGCTCTCAAGCGGGAGACCCGGGTTTGAATCCTCGGTGAGGCTGGGGAATTTTTCTGTCGGGGACAAAATAAAATCCTCACCAGCACAGTCAGGGCGACAGCACTAGCTATGCGGCCGTCAAACCTCAGGCTCGAGAACCCCCCCCCCCCCCCCCCCACCCCGCCTACACCGCAAAAAGTGGTATACAAAAGCAGTAATTGGCAGCGTTGACAAATGACACCACGACATGAGCGCTGCAAGCTAGGAGATTAGCATCCCCTTCCTCTCCCATAATAGAAAGAACTCCACAGGGGAGAATGTACCACAGGAGTCCACCGATCATCTGTAGAAGATCCCTTGTCCACAATTGTTTCAGTCTATCAACTCCTAGAAAATGTCAGAGGGTAGGCCGACCTGGGTCATGACCCCTAGGCCTCATCTTCTCCTGCTGCACTCTACCGGATGTTCTCGAACAGGGACAAGACGAAAATGGTGACTATGCAAATGGTACTGTGAGATCCGAAGTTGAATATATATATATTGTCGCTGCGGTAGCCCATTGTATTAGACGGTTACCTCAACAATGTCAAAGAGGGTTAAACTGCCAACCAACCACTCAGAAATGTATAACAGTTTTTGTTGTTAATTTTTTTTTTTTTTTTTTTTAGCTTTTGAAAATACATAGCATTATCTGCCATATATTAGTTCATTATTTACTTTTCTTATTTGTATTTTTTTTTTAAAGGGAGCCTCTGTGGTGTAGCGGCTAGATGCTTGCCTGCAGATCCGAAGGTCGTGGGTTCAGGCCCTGGCAGAGGTTGACTCTTTGAAAGAAATTAACCTTGGCTTCCATGTTGACTCAGCCTTAAATGGCTATCAGAAAAGGACCAGGAAAGTAAAGGCAGCCTGCGTGATGTTGACCACATCCCCTGCCTAGTGACCAATGGTCTAAAAATGTATGTCTAGCCCTATGTGCCTAATACATCTAAATAGGATAATATATTTTTACTTTAAATTCAAACGTGAAAAATGTGGTTAACTCTTGCAAGGCTGAAGGTTAAACCCTTATCCTTTTTCATCCGGGATTGGGAGCGGCAATGGACAAGAATAGGTTGCCAGCACTATATGACATAAAATGACACAGGAGCATAAATAATGATGACGATGATGATAGTGATGATACTTATTGTGTCATTGAGCGAACAGAAGAGCTGAAAGTTAGAAAGGCCTGGGTATCACTTTGTATTCTTATGCAAATAAAGTTTAATTTGCTCAGCTATCATTTTTTTTTTCCGCATCTTTTATCGTCAGCAGTAATTGTTAAATTGTAGACTGACACTATAAAGGCAAGAAAAGTTTCATAACACAAGAAAATGTGTGGAGGTCAAAAGAAATTAAAACTAATATTAAACTTAAAATTGTAATTCTAATGTCAAATAATATAGATGATCTTTCATGCCATGATGTTAAATCGTCCAGCGTCTGTTCTCTCGGTCTCCCTCTGCCTCTCGTCTCCTCCAACTTTCCTACCGTCACGATGTACTCTACTTTCTCCTTCTCATCACATGACCAAAGAATGTAGATTTGTCTCCCCCTGATGTAGGCAATCAGTTCTCTTCATGAGCCAGTTTCTTCCAAGACGTCTTTATTACTATTTGTATCTGTCCAGGGTATTCTCATCATTCGTCTATAAAACCACACCTCCGCAACTTCTAGATTAGTTTGCACCAATTTACTAACTGTCCATGATTCACATCCGTATAATATGGTTCTAGGTATACGTTTATTTTATGTATGTATTATTTATGTATGTATGTGCTGTCGGCTCTGTTGCTAAGTCGATGCGAACGCTTCGTAATGCCGGGATGCTGGTTTCGATCCCTGTTGCGGGCCACGTGCCTTGCGTTGGTTCCGACAATGGTATCAGGAAAACCGACCGTCCAGGAAGCAATGGCAAACTACTGGACGTACATTTGCCTAGAGAAACCACACAACAGCCAGGGGCTGTTAAGGTTGGTTCTGCAACGTCCTGTAAAGGATACGCAACTAACCTTTTATGTATGTGCTATGGATGTACGTATATGTGTGTGTTAATGTGTAGTCAGCACTTATAACTTTCAGTTAAATGAGTCAACACTGAAACTCATGTTTCCAGCTGGTGAGACAACAATGAAATCAGAATAACCAGGAATGATTAGAACTTCTTCCTCTTCTTCTCGTTCACTGGCTGTAAACTAAGGCGGAAAGTTTTGGTTGTTTGTCCACATTACTCTTGTTCCAGAACGTAAGTGTTGTGTGCACATCCGTTTAACAGATCTGATTAATTGTATGCAGGTTGTTGGCTCCTTGCCTCTCATGCAGATGCACTCCGACTTCGA